AGGTCCCTTCTCAGCGCCTGGCTGGATGTCCGGCTCCCCCTTCCCAGGCTGCCCTCACCCCAACCCTAAAAGCGCCGGCTCCACTGAGGATGGACTTAAAGCCGGAGCTTGAGCAAGGTGTGGTTGGAAACTTACCTGCCCCACTGCTTAGCCCGGCCGGGCAGAGGGGTTACCTGCACCTCCTGGTCCTCAACCATGCGCAGCCCCCACCCGGCCAAGCAAGGGCTTCACCCGTGTTTTTCCCCCACTGCGTGGCGGGGTGTGGAACGTTCATTGCCACTTGACAGAGCGGTGAGTTGAAGCTCAGCTCATCCACCAGGAGCCTAGTACAGCCGGGACTCAGAGCCGCCTGCCCCAGCACAGGGGGGTCCCCGCCTGTCCCCGGGAACCCTGCAGGCCCCGCCCACCAGCTCCCTCCACCAGGTCCCTGGTGCGCCAGGCGCTACCTTCCTTGGGCGCGTCAGCATCCCAGACGCTCCACATCTGCACGAAAAAGAATGGCGTCCAGCACACGATGAAGGCCAGCACGATGATGAAGGTCATCTTGACCGTGCGGATCTTGGCCTTGGAAATGAGCTTCACGCTGCTGACCCGCGCCAGGGCTGCGCGCTCTGCGCCGCCCGCCGCCGCGGCAGCCGCTGCCCCCTCGGGCCCCGCGGCCGCCGCGGCCGCCGCCAGCGTCTTGAGCCGCAGGTTCTGCCAGATCTTGAAGCTGATGAGGCCGTAGCAGGCGGCCAGCACGATGACGGGCACGATGTAGACGGCGAGCGTGATCCACGTGACGTAGGCCTTGGGCCCCCAGGGCTGGATGAAGACCGCCCAGCAGTCAAAGACGCCCTCGGCCACCTCGCGCAGCGAGAAGATGTGCACCTGCGGCGCGCTGGCCACCAGGCAGCCGAGCCACGTGGCGAGCACCGCGAGGCGGTCGGTGCGGCGGCGCAGCGTGCGCAGCGGCCGGCAGATGGCCAGGCAGCGGTCCAGCGACATGAGCAGCAGCATGTAGGTGGAGGCAAACATGCCCACCACCTGCAGGTACTTGACGAGGCGGCACAGCAGGTCGGGCCCGTAGAAGCGGAAGGTGATGTCCCACAGCAGCTGCGGCAACACCTGGAACACGGCCACCACCAGGTCGGCAATGCTCAGGTGCTTCATGAAGAAGAAGAGGCGCGAGTGCTTGTGGCGCGTGGTGCGCAGCGCCAGCAGCACGCACACGTTCCCGCTCAGCGCCAGGAAGAGGATGAGGCACAGCACGGCCACCTCCACGCGCGCTAGGGCCTCGTTGCGCTGCGGCGGCCCGACCGTGCCGTTCTCCGTAGTCCCCGGAGACACCGCACTCGCGCCCACCGCCTCCGTGCTCCAGTTGGCCACCAGCGCGCCCTCCATGCCCACGGCCGCCGCCGCCGTGTGCGCCCCCGGCCTTCGGGCCCTTTAAGTTTGTGGCGCCCGACAGCAGCCCCCGAGGGCCCGGGGCGCTCCGGCCCCTTTTCCGGAGACCCCGCGGGCCGCTCAGCTGGATCCCGCCCTGAAACAAAGGAGGGGGGGGTCATGAGACGGTGTGCGCATGGGCCGCACCTGTCCCCAAATAACCGGGGAGTTCAGGGCATAGCTGCCACCCCACAAGTCCCCTCTGAGAAAGCCCTGAGCCGCTTCCATTGGGGAGGGGGCATCCTTTGGGACTGGGGCTCGCACCACAGCGCCCTCCCTAGGGAAGCCCCAGCCCACCCTCGGCTGCTGCATGCGGGGACCCCGCAGCCCTCCACAACAGGACACTGCTAGCAAACCTTCCTCCGGAAATCCCCAGAGAGCCCCGCTTGGGACCTTCGGGTCCAGGACGCTCAGCCCCTCGCGCCCTGAACCTGGAAAACCTCAGAGCCAGCTGGCCCCGCGGGGTTCTTCGGCCACCCTTGGTCTCCGAGGAAGCGGGCGCGCTTCTGTGGCCCCGACCATCGAGCACTCCACATCTCCACCACGCATGCTTTGCACCCTCTCGGGGGACCCTGCGCGCTGCTCCAAGCGCGCAGGGCTCCCCGCCGCCTCCCCTGAGGTCCCAGCCGCCCGAGCGCTGGACCCAGCTACCTTGCACCGCGTCCGTCCGCAGGCTATCCTCGAGGTGGCGGCACGGGGACTTGGCCCCGATGGACGTGTGCGTTCCCTGCCGGGGTTGGGAAGGCTGCGGCAGGCGCCCTCAGGGGATTCCGTGCAGGGATCCCGAGGCGCGGCTGGAAGCCCCTGGCCGGAAGCCCTGCTGGCCGCCGGGTGCGGACGGAGCGCTTGAGGAAGCGCAGCGCGGTCGCCGGTGGCGGCTTTAATGCAGCGGGGCAAGGCTGCGGAGCCACGGGGCCCCGCTAGGGGGCGGGGCCCGGCCGTGCAGACCGCGCTACCCCTGCGCGCCCAGGCTGGTCCCCGCGGCACGGAGCGGCCGGTCTCGCAGAGCACGCACGTGCGCCCGAGCGGGTGACCACTCGTCACCAACCCGCCCTCTCTCCTCCTCCCTGGGCTCAAGCTCGCGGCGCTTTCGGGGAAGCCGGAGGCTCGGTCGGTGCCTTGCGATATGCTGACAAAGTCGCACCTGCGCGGGGCTGGTCCCACCCCAGCTGCCTTCAGCAGCTCGCTCGCCCGCCTAACGTTGCCCAGCAGAGGGTCGGGCGGGATCTGCAGGAGGCTGGGGCTCGCCAGGCTCCAAAGTGAGACGCAGGAGACAGCCTCGCCACCGCCGCATTTCCCTCCTGCTCCAAAACCCACCCCTCCCCGCACTGATTTGCATTGGCTAACAATGAAGGCAGAAAAAAAAAGCTAGGATTCAAAACTGAACAGTGCTTTTTATTATGTATTAAGTGAGCCATTTCCTCCTGCCATTTCTGTCTCTCTCTTTTAATCATCCGGAGAGAAAACAGAGCCGGGCTGGAGCCGGGAGCGTCCCCAGCGGCCCGGGGTTGGCTCAGGGTCCCCACCCTTGGGAGCTGTATCACGCGTGAACCAAGGAGAGTAATTGACCTTGAGTGCATCCTTTCTTTTCTCTGGGCATCAGTCTGCCTGCAGGTAACCAGAGAATGCCGGCCCAGACAGCCTGTGCGCAGTAAGCCACCTGAATCCACATCGACACCTTTGGCTAAGGAGTGAACAGCCCACAAGAACCCCTGACAGGGAATTTAGGGAGTAAAATCCTGGGCGGGCAGAGCCCAGCCCGCACCTTCTCCTGGCAAAGCCGCTGTTAGGATGCCAAGCAGCCCAGGGGCTCACCTGCGCACAGGTAACAATGCCTGATTCCGGATCACTCAGCAAGAACACGCAGGTCTCACCCGAAAGCTGAGTTCTCTGACCTGCCTTCATCCGATTAAAAAAAAAAATGACAACATGGTCCCTCTCTGCTGAGTTACTTCTCAGTGTGTGCCGAATCCAGGCAGGGAAGGGAGAGGGTCTGTCCTGGGGCTCCCCTGAGAACTCCAACAGCCAGCGAGACCTGCCCCTACCTCCTCACACATCCCCAGGGCGAAGATGAGGAACACACGAGTGGGGGTGGGAGGAGTGCCAGACTGGTCTCACAGCTGGAGGGTAAGGCTCAAGGGTGGGCTCTCCCAGACCCGGAACTAAAAGAGCACTTCTCAGGGAGGTGCAGACGGGAAGGCATGGTGGGGGCAGACGCTGCCAGCCACTGGGAGGCACCGCCGGTGCCTGGGCCATCTCTGATGCTTAACCAACACCCGTGGGTGTGGAACGGCCTGAAACCTGCCAAGGAGACTGGGGTTCACGTTGTGGCTCCACACTCCCCAAACGTGGCAAGGAGTGAGCAGGTTCCCTGGCGACTCAACACCTGCTGGTGTTGAAATCGAACACAAAGAGGAGCAGCTTCCGTTCTCCTCCTGCTCTGTGTCATCAATTGCCATTTCGGCAAGGGGGAAGTCTGATGGCACGAAAACGACGGAGGTGACGGCGCAGCGATGGCTGGGGTTTGGGGACGGCGGGCAGGAGGACGGTAAGCCGGGCAGCACCCTGGGGGCTGTGGGGAGCACAGGGCTATGGTCTGAGAGTTCCTGCGCTGGAAGCTTCATCTTCACACTGTGTGTGAGTCCCAGGGATGAGGGCCTGAGGGTGGCCCCCGGATGGCAGGAGCAGCTTCGTACGAGGAGGAAGAGGGCCCTGTGCTGGCCACACGCCTCCCCCCACGTTAGGATGTGACCAGGCGGTGAGCAGGTGCTGGCACGGTGCACGTAGCCATCTCAGCCTCCAGGATCATGGACCTGAATTCTGAAGTCTGTGAATTACCCGGCGTCAGGGGCGCTGCGGTAGCCACACAGAAGATGAACTGAGAGGGACCGGGAGAACTGGAGACCCAGGCTGGAGCTGCTGAGGGCATGTGGTGGGGGAGGGGCCTCCATCCTCTACACCTTCTCAGGTCAGTCTCTGGACTTTCCAGTTCAGCTGTGTGTGTGTGTGTGTGTGTGTGTGTGTGTCACTGTGCCAGACAAGGAGTGCGACTCCACTGAACCCTGGCGCTATGGCAGGACCTCTCTCTGCACCTCGTCGACACAGCCTGCCTGACCACCTGGGCCCAGGGAAGCCAGCCCCTACCACCGATGTGCTGTCTCCTGGATCTGTCACAAGTGCCTAGAACCAGTCGCATGCATCCGTCACAGTCTGGTATGTGTTACCATCTGCCTCTCGTACATACCTCCCGCTAACAAGGTGTTGGGAAAATGACAGATTGCCTGAGAACATTGCTTAGAAAATGCATCTGCGGGATCGTATCTTTGCTTCCTGGAATGGAGCAGGAGGAGGGCTGTTTGAGGACGTGTGTGATGCACACGGGAAGACCGCTGTGCCCCAAAGATGTGATGGCAGAGACGAAGCTGAGGCTTCTAAATCCTTGGCCACACAGTCTGCTGACCATGCACAAATGGGCGGGCAGGCAGCATGCACTCTCCATGGGCAGAGGCTGCAGCCTAGACTGAAGCTCAACAGGACACACCGGAGAGCAAAAGCACCCTTGGAAATGACAGAGCTGGGATTAAAAGCAGGCTGCCCTCTTGCAGGAGAACAGGTTAGCTGCGAATCCACATCTGTGGACTTGGTCGCTCCTTGCGGGGCCGGGGGCCTAGGAGTGGAGAGTGGCAAGCTGGCGCGTACCTATCTCACAGGAGAGGAAGCAGGCTCGGAGAGGCCCAGGCGCCTGCCCAGGGCTCACCGCTGGCCGCAGCAGGCACAGGAGGAGCCTGCAGGGGTCGGCAGGGACCAGGTCCCCCAGACCTGGCAGAAGTTGGAGGGACTGTGCTTCCTCTTCTAGGAGTCCAAGGAAGCGTCGAGGGGGCTCAGGGAAGGTGGGAGGTGACCCACCAGCAGGACAAGTGTCCCAGGACCACCGATCAAAGAGCTGCTGTGGGCATCCAGGCAGGACTGAGCTAGCTGGAAAGGGGTCCCCGTGGCAAGGTGCCCCCATGACCGTGAAAGGCTTGAGCAGCCCTGACAGTGCTCTGGGGATGAAAGCTGCAAGGGCTCCTGGGAGAGGGAGAGGAGAGGGCAGGGAGGGAGCAGAGAGAATTACAGCCCTGAGACAGCCCCGGGGAGTGAGTGCCCCGGAGCTCAGCCTAGGAGTGAGTGCCCCAGAGCTCAGCCCAGGTTTACCCCCAAACACTCCAAGGAAACAGGCTCTCCTATCAGGCCATCTCTGCCCGGGGGCCAAAGGGAATTCCAGCCACTGGCCCTCACCAGACAGACATCTCAAGCCCAGGCAGCCCGGCTCTCACCTCCCCCATCCGGCTGAAGGCCTACCCATTTTTCTTTTTCATTAAAAAATAAGAAAGTCATTTCTTCCTGGAAAAGTCCCAGCAGCAGTCTGCCTCTCTTCCTGAGGCACTGGGCGGGCGTGCGTGACAGCACAAGCCATTTCCTCTCCCCTGCGATGCCCCGACACTCACCAAGCAATCAGTATGCTCTAAAGCACCTACTGTGGGCTCGATGGGGAGACCTCCACCGGCACAGCAGCGAGGGGCGGGACCAGTGGTTCAGAGGCCGAGCGGAACCTGGCCGGCCACACTCCTCAGGAGTGAGAAATCAAAGGAAGCAGGAAGCCCGGAACCCCTGTTGCAATGCCACCAAGGACGGAGCTGCTCCGTGTGACTGCAGACAGGTCCCCCCCATCCACCCTGGGCCTGTTTCCCCTCCGTGAAGTGGGGGTGGTGCACCACCTCCGAGGCCCCTTGCAGCTCTAACTTTCTGTAATTCTGACGTCTGATCAACAGAGGACACAACGAAGCAGCTGGCACACAACGGGCTGTGACATGGCATCCCTGGTGCGAGTCATGGTGCATGTGCGCGCGCACACACACACACACACCACCATCCAGGGACCCCCAACACGCTCTGCCGAGACCCTGAGCTTGAAGCAAGTGAAGCAGCATTTTCCACCTGCTGGCCTAGAGAGGGTGAAAGTGTGGGGCTCCTGCTAACTGCGGGGTGCAGGGGTGCATTTTGGAAGCACAAATCGCAACAGCTGTAAAACCTGGAAGACCTTGCGACTCAGCAGAGAGCCCCTCTGAAGAAATCACAGGACATGGATGCAGGGACAGGAGCAGGCAGGTGTCTATCAAGGACTAAGGCTAAACGGAAGGAGGGGCCCTGCTGGAACCCGCCTCGACTCCCGGTCCCTGTGACACCGCTTTTCAGCATGAAGCAGCCAGAGCGATCGCCGCCCGGCTCCCCAACGAAGTTAGGGTCCATTCTCTTGTGAGGAGTCAGATCGGTTAAAAGGTAGCCTGGAAATTGAGAGTGGAAAACGTTCCTCCCCAAAGTTACCCTTAGCAAGGTCAGAAGTGCCTGCCTGCCTGCCCACTCCTTGAGACCAGCACGCGAGTGGGGACTCCACCCTTCTGAGCTCCCAGTCTACTGTCCAGCAAATTAGGTATCCCGCCCTTGTGACAGCTCTTCTGCTTGACTGTCCAAGCCAGACAGGATGAAGGACTGCAAATCAGGTCTTTCGATGGGTTTTGTCCCAACCTAGGAACTGAATGTCAATCTGATGGCCAAGTATTTTTTTTTTCAAAACTGTGCTTAAAAGCCCCAGTGCCATGGGGCCCTCTGGGTTTTTCCTCACTCGGAAGCCCCTCTCCATGCCACACTGGCTGGAGGACTATGACTCTGATAAATCTGGCTTTTAAATCTCAAAAAAAAAAAAAAAAAAAGGAAGGGGTGGGCCTGTGAGAAGTGACATGGACAAGTCATGTGTGCCATGCATGTGCATGTATGCGCATGTGTCTACATGTGTGTGTAGTATTATGCACGTGTGTATGCTAACACATGTGTACACATGTATGCATCTGTATTTGTGTGTGCATGTGGGCGGGGGTTGGGGCAGGGGAGAGGGAGAGGAGGAAGAAACGGGCAGCTTGGGCAAGGGTGGAGGAGGACAGCCTTTTTGCACACCCCCACGTCAGAGCGTGGTCCGAAAGGGGCGGTGCAGATGGACAGCAGTCGTCACCAGAGGGTGGCGGGTGGTGAAGC